TCTCAAAAGTGAGGGAACTGGAGCCCCTTTGCCCTTCTGTGGAATAAGATTAGGAAGTTCAGGAAGCACCCTTGAAAACTACTGTAAGTCACAGATTGTGAAACTCCCATGTACTTAGCATGGTGTTTTGGTGGTTTCTTCTAAATAGTCCTGTGCATTTGCTGACACAGTAACTGTGTATGCTTATTTTCAAAAGGCTGCTCCTCATCAGGAAATTATGCTGGTACTCAGATGATACAGCAATGCTTTGTTGATGCAGATACCTTAAACACTTCACAGATGAGCACATATAAACTATCATGAAGCACAAGTTTAATTCTACTACATTGTAACATAAATGAACTCAAAGGAGATTTAAAATGCAGTAGACCTTACTGTGGAAGTACAGACACTATCCATCATCTACATCCACTCCTTAAAAATATTGAAACTGAGATTCTTGTTATGATCCAGAAAGTATGTCACTAGTCCAGGGACCTAGCTGCTTGCAAGGTGCAGCCTCATGCTGCAAACTGGAATGAACTGGCAGAAAAAAGTCATTGGAGATTCTCTCTTGGCAAGTGAACCCCCTGTTCAGAAAGATTCAGCACCCAAAGCCAGTGTCATGCAGCTGTCATTCCAGCTGTGCAGAGGCAGGCAGAGATGGAGCTGATAAAGTGCAGAGCTCCTCACTCCGCAAATCTGACAGTGATGTTAAATAAAGCAGACCATGGCTGCAGTAATACCACTGCCAAACTAGTGCTGAGTCAGACAGATATAACCAGATCCCAGGTGATTAATTCAATCTCAAAGACAGTGCCAGACTAAAGGGAAACTCATATTTTTTTGATTGCTAAAAATTTTTAGAAGTTACTTTACTGAAAAGTCAGAAAGACAAAAGTTCCTATAACCTGATAAAACTATAGAGGTTCTCAAAGGGCGAGACGGATGAAGTTAAGAGTTGTTTCTGGCATGGTACCCAGATATGAAATCTACTAACAATTAGATCAAGAAACCTTAAATTGATTCTGCTTTTTCTTTACACTTAACTGCAGTGCTCCTTTGCTGCAAGTCTGTTGTCCCTGACTGTCAGTGGCCACAAGAAGTGTAAAAAAACTAAGCACCACAGGAGCAGCAACCCCACAATGGAGACTCTTTTGGGTCGTGCCAATGGATAGTCCTCAGGAACACACACTGACTACCTGAGAGACTGGCAAGAGTGTTTTCTTCCCCCTGGTAAGAATTTCTGCTGCCTTTGCTTTGCTGGCCCTGGTCTCCAAAGACACCAGCCAGGCTCCGGTGCTGGGAGGGCTGGGTTTTAAGTTCACTGACACTCAGAACGGTACATCACTTTTAATTTTCTGTCACTTATTTTAATTCTGGGAGTTAAATGTGCCGTGTCTAAGTTCTGTACTGTTATATTTAATTAAGGGTTTTGGTCTGCAGTCTTAACTACTTTAGTTTGATGGAAAAAGAAATTCAAGATAAGATTCAATTTGAGAGGAAAATTCTGGTCTTGCAATCTAGCTAATATTACTTATTCTCTTCCCCCCTCCCCCATTTTATTTGAGTGATTTTTATAAAACTTATAACTATTTTGAAAAGCTTTGAGAGTGTCAAGTAGGTCTACAACACCAATATCTTCAGCTGGGAAGATATTACAGAAAATACATCAGTAAAATTGGAGATGAGCTATCAGTGACAGATTACCTATCTTGAACATTAAAATGCTGGTTGACTGAATCCAGTGCAATAACATCAGGCCTTAAGTGCTTATATGCTCTTGGGAATCCTTTTTTTTTTCAATACTAGGAGATTAGAAACAGACAAAGCAGAAAACATAAAATATTGTTTCTAAACACTGATGAAATTATCATCTGAGGTAAAACGTCTGTTATGAGAAAGGGAATCACACCCTGGTAATAACTTATTTCCTTCTGAGGTATAACACAGAAGAAATAAAATAGGTTATTTGGTTCTTTTTATAGAGTTTTCATTTAGCAGATTATGAGTTTATATGAAAACCTGGTTCAAGGATTCCTATTGCATCAGTGAAAGGAGCTGAAAACAACATAGAAAACATTTAGCTTCTATTCCTAGTTCTGTCACATACTTTTGCTTAGCCTTCAGCCTTTTTTCTTTCTGTCAGTCATGCTGCTTTTTGAAGTGGGAGCCTGAAGTACTTTCATTCTTTGAGGAGAAAAGGATGAATATTTGTAAGACATGGAGAGCACATGTAGGATGCTCTTCACAGAATAAGATAAAAATACAGAGAGGACTTGATTTTATTCTAGTTACAACAGTTTTGCAATTATACTAGACTCCTGATTTTACTGGAATTATGTGTGTCAAGAAGTTTATTTACATGAACTTTCACAGACATATGATGAATGATAGATCTTTAGTATTTATCATGTAAAGTACATTCATCTTATCTTGCTGATATTTTCTTTTTGAAGTCAGAAATCCTTTGCCCTGGAATACCCAGAAATATAATTGCAAAGCTAGCATAAGAATCTGATGACAAAACAGCAACAGAAATAAGTCAATGATATATGATGGAACTGCTCCTGTAAGGAGGAACCAAGATGTTGCATAACTGAGCAGACAGTAGAGATAGAGATAATTAAATTATTCCTTAATTCCTTTCATAGAGACCATTATTACAGCAATGGGAAAAGCATGTTTGTCCGTCCTTTGTATGAGTCCACTGGCTTCTGGAGTAAGAGTTCCACTGTCCCAGCCACTGCGTATCTCAAAGCACTCAGGAGCTCCATACTCTCTTCTGTGCAATTCCCCTGGAAGGATCTCCTTTCTGCATAACTGTAAAAAATCTCCAGTTTAGCCTTGCATTTCCCAGTGGCATCTGTCCTGGGGACACAGACATTTTCACCTACAGGAATGCGCAGCGAACCAACAAACTGCTTTCCCTTCCCTGGGTTCTCACAGACCTGCCACGGGGCAGACATGCAGGTGGTATCTCTATGTGGTGATTCACCCTCATTTTCCATTGCATTCAACAGAAGAGACACATGTTTTCCAAGAGTCTCTATTTCTGGCAGCTATGACTTAAGGGAGATTTTTAAAGGACTAGATGTGACTGATACATTCGTTATCCATGCTGATCTGTCTGGAATTGCTAGGAAGCTGATTCTTTGCATATGATCATTTGTGGGTTTGCTGTAACTGCTGATCCTAGGAAACTCTTGTCTAGGAAGAGACTTAGGGTCAGAGAAGCAGGTGCCTGTGAGTGGTGAGCAGAGATAGATGCAACTTTCCACTCTCTCCCTGACATGCTGAGTGCTGCTGCATGTCCTAGGAGAAAGTAGAAGAATCACTGCAGCAGCTTTACTAGTCCCAGAAATTCCTCTCTGGAAACAGTAGCATTCTTCAGATGATTAGCTAAGCATTAGGACTGGGCTGAAAGATTAACGCTATCTATGTAAGCAGGCCTAGACTTGAGGAAAATAGCTCTTCATTGCTAGAGTTAAGCTCCAGCATACTTGCTGCTCCTAAGACTTGGTCCTTTTACATAATACTAAAATAAACTTATTGGGTACTTGCACATGCCATGAAGAAAACCCTCTCTGCAGAAATACATTCTGCCCAACCCTGCCTCTGTTTTTTAAGAGAGAGTAGTTACATAGCAATAACTATGGTAGATTGATTCTTATATGTAGATAAGTTGTAAGTTTACCCGGGGAGAAATCATGCACATTTGATGGAAATAATTAGTCATTGCTAATTAGGATGGGTGCCATGCATTTCATCCTTAAATAACCTTCTAAATAGCTAAATTGTGCCTGTTTCAGCTTCCTCTGAAAGGGAATCCAGTGTAAGGTGTATATACAGTATGCATATAATGACATATACGGTATGTATACAATTCATACTTTTCCTGTGCATGTATAGCACAAGGGGGAAAGAAGATCCTCTCTGTTCTCCCCAGATAAAATTTTGCTATGGGAAAGTTTGCTCATTTCATTCTTCCATTTGTTTTTTTATTTTACCTGTTTGTCAAGCTATGCTATACTTTGCTTTTTGCTTTAGTACTTTCTAAAATACTCATCAAAGGTGTTTAAAAGAGCTAACCAGTGTTCTGACTATCTTTTTTCTAATAAGTTAATGAGCCCATCAAATAATGCCAGTTAGGGCACACCTGCAGTGTGCACTGCAGAGCAGTTCCTGAACAAAGTTGCTGCTGCCTTGGGTACTCAGTTAGATGGCATTGTTGCATCAGGATATCCTGTGTAGAGGGTTCAGTGGCACAGTGCAGGCACAGTGTCCATTGCTTTGGCCCTTTCTTAGCTTTTCAGTTCTTCTCACATTCTGTTTTCTAAAACTCATTTACCACGGTTATGCCAGAGTACCTTGCAAAGCTCTTTTGCTCACAGTTCAGTTCAAGCCCAAGAGTAGCAAAGTCCCTGGTCTTTCTCCATTTAGAGCCCTAAGTCTTGGCATCATTCTGCTTGTGTGACAGGAAAAAAAAGGACTTACAGTGATTGATATTCAGAAAAAAATAGCTTGCTCAACCTTTGCTTTGCAAATAAATCTTATTTGCCCTGTTTAATATTTACCAGTGGACATTAACTTAATACTATGAACTGAATCAAGAATAAGAAAGAAGAACTGTGAAAGGTCAGTTCAGCACGGTAAGTACCATATTTTATTCTCTTAGAAGTCTTTGAATTTATGTTGTGTGTGATCCCTGCTATTTAATGCACAGTATTTAATTCTGAGATTAATTTATTTTGTACAGTAATTGGAAATTATTTTAGGGTCTGAAAGCATGTTCTGGATGTTTGGAGCAGGATTCATTCAGTGATCCATCTCATAGCTATAGTCACAGGATGACTGGGATATGAAGTATAAAATGAATACTCAACAGTCAATACCAAGATGCCTGAAGGAGTAAATTCAGTTGCAGTCTCAATGTCCTGACTATTCCAGGCCGATGCAGGACATCATTTCTCTCTAGTGTGCTTAAAGACCAGGCTACTTGCAGTCAAGAGGACAGAAAGATAAATCAGTCTCTCTCAAAAGCAGATTGGGGGAATTATGAAAAGAGTGCTTACCAGACCAAAATGAATTAGCAGCATTGAGAATGCCTTTTTTCCCAAGTCGATGTTTTCATCCAGGATTTTACACTTGCTAAGCACAACTCCCATACTCAGCCCTTCCATAGCTTATTTCTCCAGTGTTTCATAATGGGCAGACAGAAAAGGGGGAATCTGGAATTAACAACTCCCCATGAAAAGTTTGATGCAAGACCTAAACCTGGCATTAGACACACAGCCTGAGGCAGATTTGGGGGCAGAATCCCATGCCCCAAGATGAGTATATAGCTGCTATGAGCAATATTCAGACCATCTTTATTTCCCTGCAGGCCTACTTCATGGGTTTGAGTTTCTCTTATTTGAGATAATTTAGGTGAGGAATCCTATGGAGAACACTCTTCTCCAGTATGTTTCATGGTTCTTTCCCTGAAAAGGGGAGAAGAGAGAGTGTGGGGTTATGTAGAATTTGCTTAGGTCGGTTAATGGAAGAGAAAATGTCATCAAATTACACATACACAAGGAGGCAAATTACACTGTAGCTTTTCCTAAGCTCTTGAGTCTTGGGCTTTGCAGCCCTATGGATAGTTTATGTGCAGTAGAGAGAGACAATAAAATTTCTCAATTTACCCTCAATTTGTTGAAACATTTAAGGTAATATCTTGAAAATAATAATAAAAGTCTTGAGTCAGGGCTGTTATGAAAGGGGTAGAAAGACATAAAGAGTTTAAGGGCTGAGCATTGAGGTGGATTTTACTCACAGATACAACAGACTGTATCTCTGCAGTGTTTGAAAAGTCAAAACAAGACCACGGGTACTACAGAAACATAGCAGCAAAAGTTGGTCCCTCTGCCAAAGTGTTTACCACATACATAGGTGCTCATAGATGAACTCAGTCATGAACCCCAAGGCACTGAGGCCATGCTTGTCAGAGGTAAGAACTACTTCACACATAATACCTCATGAAAGCCTACATGACACTGATTCTTCCCTTGTAATGCCACATTACTATCATTCTTCCTTTGCTCACTGGTCTCAAACTAAGAGAAATTACTGGACAAAGACCACCTAGGAGGCCAAGTTGAAAAGTATTTCTAAATAGAAAAGTAATTTTAACAACTGGCATACGAAACTCAGTATCTAGAACACAAAAATGTTTTATGTAGGAAAGAAAAAATTCTCTAGATTTAAAAGTTGCTCTGTTCTTTCTTAACAGAACTCTTCAGAAGGACAATGAAGTCTGCATTGTATTTGTGTTTGTTACTTCTTGGACTTCAAGTCCAGGGACAGCAGCAGGAACAACAAATACCCCATTCCCCAGAAGACCATTCCCAGGCTGAAGGTGAAAACTTGCCTCATGTCAAGATAGCCCCCAGCAATGCCAACTTTGCATTTAGGTTTTACAAGCAGGTTAGAGAGGAGGCAGGCAACAAGAACATTTTCTTCTCACCTTTGAGCATCTCCACTGCCTTTGCAATGCTCTCCCTGGGGGCCCGATCAAACACGCTCAGAGAGCTGCACAATGGCCTTTTCTTCAACCAGACAGAGGTGGAGGAGCGGCAGATACATGAAGGATTTCAGAGTGTTCTCCAGCTGCTGAATGACCCTCACCGAGAAGTCCAGCTGAACATGGGCAATGCCCTGTTCATAGATGATCGGCTGAAACTTCTCCAAAAATTTTTGGATGATGTCATGAATTTTTATTATTCTGAAGCTATTTCTAGTAACTTCCAAAATTCTCCAGAGGCTATAAAGCAAATCAATATGTATCTGGAAAGAAAAACACATGGCAAAATTGTTGATTTAGTAAAGAGTCTTGATCCGGACACTGTGATGGTTCTTGTTAACTACATTTTCTTTAAAGGTGAGTGACAAATATGAGTAGCAGTTATATACATAAGCTCTGGAAGTTCTAAGAAAAGTAATTTTTTTTCACATTGTGGATAATTTAATTTAATTTAAAACACATCTTTATATTTTTAAATTACCTAACAAAATCTTTGCAAGCCAGGTATGAAAAATCATTTTCTATATGAGGAAAAAAAATGAAAAAAATGAAAGAACTGATTAAAGTTGTATCAGTTTAAAGCCAGATTCAGAGCTGAAAATATTCAGAAAATATGAGCATGGGAACTTACAATCATGTGTTGAAAACCACATATTTCTGTGCCTTTCAACTGGCTGTGCAAGACATGGTCAAACACAGATGACACTTGCATGAAAGGAATAAGCCTGAAACTGGTGTGATTGGAGTCCATGAAAAATTTACCATTGCTTTAACAGGCAGAGGCTTATCTCTTTTCTATGGCAACCCTCAACCTATATTTCCTTGTGTGATTTTTATTAAAACCATTGAAAGGAGGTAAAGTTTCTTTCCATGGCCAGGGAACAAACATCCTTAAACTGAGATAGGCTTGTTGCTGCCTCTACTTTTCAATTACAGCATTTTAAGCATCAACTAATGTGACATTCCTTTATTAGTCTCTTTTTTTTCAATTCTGTACTTATTCTTTTTTCAAAAGGTTCCTGGGAAAAACCTTTCAACAATTTGAACACGAGAGATGATGACTTCTTCTTGGATGGCAAGAATTCTGTTAAGGTCAAAATGATGCATCAAAACAAAGCCTTTAAAGTTCACAGGGATGAGAATTTGTCTTGCTGGGTAGTAGAAATTCCATACACAGGAAATGTTACTTCATTGTTTGTTCTGCCTGATGAAGGGAAAATGAAACAGGTGGAAGATGCTCTGCTGAAAGAAACAGTGTCTAACTGGATGGAATCACTTAAAAAAAGGTAATATTTTAATTGTGGCTTTGCTTAAATATTGAACAGTCCGAAACCACTTATGTGAGAAAGGTATCTTTCAGGATGTCACAATAAATCACTAAGCACAGCTTTCAGGAATAAGCATTGCTTAGTTTCTTTAACTCAGGTAAAGTATCATGATTTCATAACTAAAGGCAACCCTCTCCTCAGCCCCCTCAGTCACAGCAGCGAGAGTGCTATTAGTTGTGAGGATCCTGCACATGGGTACATTGCCCTCAGGAACTTGCCTTCAGTAGGAAGAATCTAGCTCAAAAGAAAATACAATTTATTTTTCTCCAGTGTGGATGATACTTTCCAGCCAGTCACTTTCATAGACTATCACTCTGTCCCTGAACCACTGAATAGGTTGTGGTGGGTGAGATAGGTATAGCCACAGCTATTGCATGAAGGAATCTTGCAGTAACAAACTCACATTTTTCATTTATTTTTGAAAAGAAAAATCTACCTGGACCTTCCAAAATTCTCTGTCTCTGCCTCCTATGATGTTAAGAGCTTGTTTGAGAAAATGGGTATGACAGAGGTGTTCAGTGACCAGGCTGATCTCTCTGCAGTGGCAGAAGATACCCTTCTGAAGGTTTCCAAAGTAAGTATGTAAACAGAAATGGTATTATGTATACAGCTTTTGTTATCTGAGCACTTCAGGATTTATATGGACAAGAGATTTGTGGCACAGGGATAGCCCCATTTCACAAACAAGAAATGAATATACACATAAACAAAATTATTTCTCCAGTGTCCTACTGGGTATATGCTTTGTGTCCTGAGGGAAGTGATCCTTCCCCTCTATTCTACACTTATGATACTACCTCTGGAGTACTACACGTGCAGTTTGGGGCTCCCCAGCACAAGGGACATGTGCACACATGGGAGCAGAGTGCATCCAACGGAAGGTGAGTAGGATGGCTATGTGGCTGGAGCACTGGATGTATGAGGAGGGGTTGGGAGACCTAGAGTTGTTCAGTCAGAAGAAGGGAAGAGGGGGCTCTTAGCACTGGCTACAGATATCTATTAGGAAGGCGCAGAGAAAGTGGACACAAACTCTTCTTGGAGATGCACAGTGATATGACAAGGGGTAACACACATAAGATAGAAAATAGGACATTCTGATCAGATATTGTGTAAAAAAGTTCACCAGGAGAGTGATCAAAAACTAGTATGGGTTACTTAGAGAGTCTGTGAGATTTCCATCCTTGGAAATATTCAAACCCTGACTGGATTAGACCCCATGTAACCTTATCTAGTATGGGAGGTCACACAGCGTGGGGTGATTGGTTGCATACAATGGCCTCTAGAGGTCCTTACATTATATACTGTTTAATGACTTGTTGATACCTCACAGTGAATAATGTCTTATAACTTATAACCTCTGAATTATAGATATAGGACAGGTAAATAGAGGAAGGGTAGCAGGGACTCATGAGAAGAAATTTTAGATGTGCTACACACAATAAAGGAAGAAATTGAGGGCTGACCAAAGACAATGGAATAAGATCATGTGAATTCCTAAATATGAATACTTCCCAGAGAAAGCCCTGTAAAGTCTTATCACTGGGCTGTGTTGCAGAAAGACAACCTATAAAGCTTGTCACTATTGTATCTTTGCAGAAATAATTTTTTTGGTATACATAGAAATTGATGCAAAAGGAAACTCACTTCTGTGTTAAATATTAAGGATAAAATCTTACTCTGAGAACCAACAGAAAAGTAATTGTCCTCTCTGTTGCTCAGTCTTTGCAAGCAGCCAAGTTTGACTCCAACAGAGTGTTGAAGAGAGCTCTCCCTGAACTCAGAGCAGACTTTGCTTGTTTTGGAAGAGCTGGACATTGGTATTTTTTTCACAAAAGTTCTACATTTATTTCTGTGTTTTCTTTTTAAAGATTATGTTCCCACAGTGTTAAAGCTACTTCCTTCTCTTCTCTACCTACATTATAATCTTTGCTTTCCTTCCAGGCAATTCACAAGGCCATGGTGGATGTTAGAGAGAATGGCACAGAGGCTTCTGCAGTGACCATGCTAGAAATTACACCACTGCTTCTACCGTTTCCTCCTCCTCCTCACATCACCTTCAACAGGCCCTTCCTGATGACTATTTTGGACAAAACCAGCCACAGCATTCTCTTCCTGGGAAAAATTGTGAACCCAGCTGCTAGGGAAGACTAGGCCAGAGCAGTTGTACTCCCCAGTGCAGTGAAGAAAGCTTGTGTGCATCCCAGGAATTTCTTCGCAAATGGGACTAGAATTGATCTGATCCCAAATTAATGAATAAAGAAATAAGATGTCAAGTTTTTCTTTACTTAAAAACAGACAGTTGGGTACAAACATGAGTAGGTTCTTTTTACAAAATGACTCAGGCAAAAGAGGTAGCCATGGGGTCTTCAACCGACAAAAATTTTCCATGCACTTATCACTGGTGCCAGGGTTTTTTGTATGAAGATACAGCTTCCTATTGCTGGCTGAGAAAATCCCAATGCTTCCCATTCCCTATCCTCAGCTCAAAAACCCCAAATCTATCCCCTTCAGATGAAAAACCATTCTTTCCCTCCTTTTCATTCCACTGTGAAGCCCAGCAGAAGTCTCCTTGATCTTGCAGGGCTCAGTGGCTAAGAAGGGAAATAGAGGCATAGACCTATTAACCTTTTCTTCTCCTAGATGGTGGATGCTCCTTAGTAAAGAATAAACCTCTTCCTTCCAGCTTGACAACTGCCTCCTACCAGCTCCAACCCTCACTCTCTTTTACATTCCTCAATAGTTGCTCCAGAATAAGGAGCCAAACTTTTCTGGCAGGGTGAGCATTTAGCTTTTAGCTAAGCTTTTAGTCAATGAAAGTTGAACATCATTGCTCAAATTATCATCCTTAATAGTCTTGTGTGTGCACAGTAAAGCATGAGATCCCTGGGAGAATTAAATGTGGCAAAACCCATGTTCTGGTTCCATAAACCAGTGACAGCAGCTGGAGGTCACGTCTCCACTGTCCACCTGCCAGCTAATCATGTTCACCTCCACTCGCTTCAGCAATCTCAGGCTGATTGGTGCTTCCAAGAGGTTTCTCTCCATTAAGCTGATGTTGAGGGTGCAGAAAGGTGACTCAGACACCTTCCTGAGTGCTGGGTAGGCAGATGCCAGTGCTACCAGCAGTACCATGTGATGGAGAGCTGTGTTGCAGTATTAAATTTAATTAATTAAATAATTGGCAATTAAAATTAGAGTCGGATAGTAATAAACAAAGACATAATTAAAACCACTTTTCCCCCAATTTGCTTCCTTCTTCCCAGGCTCAATTTCACTCCTAACTCCTTTACTTCCTCTGAGTGGCACAGGAAAGGGGGCATGAGGGTATGGGAATGGCCATCAGTTCACAGTGCTTCATGTCTGCCACTCCTTCCTCCTCCCAATCTTCCTCTGCTCCAGCATGATGTTTCTTCCATATGTGACAGTCCACAAATGCTCCAGCATGGGTCTTTCCTACAGGATACAATCTATCAGAAGCAGAGTGGTCCAACATGGGTTCATGTCCACGGGGTTACAGTTCCTGCCAGGACCTTGCTCCAGATCTGACTCTCAATAAGCTGCAGCTTCCTTCTGGGATCCATCCACTTGCTCTCACATGGGATCATCCAGGGCAGCAAGCAGTCTGGGTTTCTGCTCTACCACAGTCCTCCATGGGCTGCAGGAGGACATCCTGCCTCACCAGAGTCTTCTCCAGGAACTGCAGGGGAATCTGTGCTCCAGCACCTGGAGCACCTCCTTCACTTCCTTCTGCATTGACCTGACTGCCTGTGGGGCTGCTTCTCTCTCTTGTTTTTTGATTCTCAGATCTGCCACACAATGTTGTTTTCCCTTTTCTCAAATAGGCTTTCCCAGAGGTGTCACCATCTTGACTGAGAGGCTCAGGTGTACTCTGTTGTGGGTCTGTTGGAGCCATCTGAAACTGGCCCTTTCCAGTACAGGACAGCCCTGACCTCTTTCTCACAGAGGCCACCCTGCAGCCCCCTCTGGCAGCACCTCTGCACAGACATCTGTCTGTACACAGAAACCCCGTCCTCATATGAGGCTTACTGTGGATAAAGTGATTTAATGGATGGGTAGAACACTTTGATGGTGCTAATGAACTGCCAGGAGCTGTAGTGAGGCTCCCTTCACAGTGCCTTCTCAGCATCAAGAGCTGGAGGGCACTCCTCAAACACAGCCTGAGCTGAGTGCAGCTCCCTTCCCCCTCACACCCCGCTCTGAGGTTTCCAGCCTCAGCTCTGCTCTCCTCCGTAGGAAAAGCTGGAATCAATCCCCTGACCAGGCCTGGGGCTCCTTGACACTGTTGGAGGGCTTTGGCATCTGGCTAGGCTGGGTCAGAGCTACTAAATCCTTCTCCCGTTGTGGTTTGGTTTGGGAGAGCCCTGACAGGTCATACAGCTGAGAGAAAACCATAGTGTGCATATTTGCAACAAAAGATAATAGAGCCTTTCATGTGAGCAAGCACAGACCTTTTCCCAGTCCTATAGGCAAAAAAACCCCTAACCTCTAGCCAACCTATTCAGACAGACCAGAAGACTTGCTTAATGAAAAATATTTTTTCTATAATCAACCCCTTGTCTCCAGAGTTTAAAGACAGAAACCCAGCAAAGCTCCATGGAAAACCTGAGTCACCTGTACCTGTCTAGCTCATTTTGTCTCTCAGGAAAATAAAATCAATTGTTTCAGCACTGCTTGAAGGGGCAAACATCTGCTGTTGGAGCCAAGCCAAGGATTTCAGCGTTGCACAGCACTGGGCTGCCAAGCTACAAATCTTTTCATCCACAGCGACTCATACAGCTTGTCCAGTCACTGCTCCTCTGCTTAGGGAGTGGTGAGGTTTAGGGGAGCAGTTAACTGTATGCTACTCAGGACATGTTAGAGGGAAGGCAAGAACAAGAGTAAATAGGAAAATGTTTATATTGCCTCATTTCTTCCCTCCCACTCTGCCCAATTCTGGAAAATGAAGCCCAGGAACAACTCCAGACTTATTGTCTTGTAGTAAATATCTGAAATAGAAACCTTTGTAAAAATTCTTAATTATCTCCTTATCAGAACTGTGAGATTTTCTTATGGAAAATAGTACAAGTTTGCTTGGTGCCTAAAAGCAGTTCTTTAAGGGTGGAAAAAAATATTTCAGCTGAGAAGATGGTTCCCAGCTATGCTTTTGTAACTTTCTTGCTACTGCAAATAAAAACAACCAGTCAAAAAAAAGTTTTAAAAGGCAGACCAGTGATTTCTCAAATAAGCAGTTAAGTTCAAAGAATTTGTTGGAGATTTATATGGGTTTTGGAAAGGGGCTTAAAGAGCTGGAAGAGAACAGGAGTGTTGAGTTGATTTGCTCAGTAATTTTAGCTCCATGGTGGAGCTAGGGGGAGTATAGCAAGAACATGATGACTTAACAGAAAAAGTGAAAGGTTTACAGATGTCTGGAAAGTCTGCCATAAAACCAAAGGCAACACAGTTGCCTAGCTGTAGATACCCCGAATCAGCTCTGGCTGAAACAGAAATTCTACCAAGAGGAAAACAAATCACCCAGGGCCAAGATAACACCAGCAGACTGCTAAGCATTCACGTTTCCTGGAGCAACATGGAAAGAAGAGGGATGGGAGAGTAAAAGCTCTCTAAAGAAGACAAGGAACCCTTGGCCACGCTTGAACATCCCAATGCTCCTCACACTTAAGAAGTACTGACCCAAGGGAGAGAAAACTTGGAGCCAGCACATGGAGTGGACTGCCCATGTGTTGTACCTCTGTGTTACCAGGGGATAACCAGCCTTGTCTCATCCTGCACCAGCACAGCATCTGCAGGTAACTAGAAAAAATCTCAAAGATAGGGACTTTGATCCTTGATGATTTCCATTGTTGACTGCAACAGTAACATCTACCCCTACTGGACTGGAATATTGGGCATACAGTGTCTGTAAGCACAGTGACAATTAAAACTAGACCGCATTAACTTTGCAAGCTTTTGCCTCTATTTTGCATAGATTTTGACAACCAGGTCTCTCCATTCCTTCATTAATCATCTACCTCTGCTACTTTTAGTGTCAAGGCCCTATCTGAGAAGGCATTTCTGAAGTGCTCAGAGGCAGCAATGCTGTTGCTGAAGTCACAGGAAGCCTGACCTGGCACTGCCCACAGTCAGCCGTAAGTGGGGATGGAGATTATCTGAGCAGTGCTTATGTTTCATATTTCCAAACAGTCTGACCTGACATCCAGCAATTTAATGGTTTTTTAGAAGCAACAGGGAATGCTGCAAGCAGCAAGCTGTCATATATGAAAAGCAACAGATTGCACTTCAAAGTTACTGTGAACTCTCTTGATTTATCAGAAATGCACCTATTGAAATAATAACCACAAATAGCCCCAAGGTAGAGTCTGAAAAACCCCCACCATGATTTGCCCTTAGCGAACATAAAACGGTGTATTAAAAGTTATTACAACACCCTGTTATGTTGGAGTATTTTTCTTGTCTGGGTCTCTCAAGTCCCTCTCTTCTGTAGGGTTGCAGTACCTCCCAGTTTGCTAAGATATCTCCTTTACAAGGAAGGAGATGAATCTGGGGATCTCAAGTGTCCATGTGTGTTAAAGGAATTCCATAAGACCAATGCACCTGACTTCCTTGCTTGGAGAACCAGGTACTGCTACCCCACTTGGCATGTGTTCTTTCCAGTAACACCTGGAGCTCCTTGGTGGTTGAGAATTCAAGCAAAGAATTTCTCATGATCCCTTGGGAAAACTGCTGGCTTAGCCAATAGCTATTATATGCACAGTCAAGTGGATTTTCTTGCCAGCTGTATTTCTTTGAAGTTGTGCCAGTACAGGCAGTGCTTGGGCAGCTTGTGTCAAAGGGGCACATCAGGTTTTTAGTCTTTAAAACTGTAACTCCTCCTAGTTCTGTTAATGTTTTCCATGGAACTTGTTAGTAATCCTCATTTTTAAATCAGTGAGTCTTTAGGCAAGTACATCACATTTACATTAAAATTTTGCATGCCTACGTGCTGTGTGGAAGTCCACGGAAGTTACAGATATGTAGTGATTGTCTGTACTGCAGGTAGCATTTAAATATGTCACTGAAAAAGGAACTAGAAATCCGCAGCTTCTGTCTAGTACACAAATACAGCCATTCTTTCCAAATCTCTGCAGGGTCTGTGGCATTCAGTCACATACAGTGCATTTACATGGCCTTTTGTTCAATTCTCATTCAAGAGCAAAGCGCCCAAAAACTGAGAACTATCTCTTCTGTGAGAAACAGTCTGCAATCCTGGACATTC